ATGGCTGCGGGAAATGGGCTCAGCTTGCAAAGTCTTCATACAGCTATGATGGAGATGAAGAGTCGCTTTGAGGAAGAGTCTGGTGCACAAAAGACCGAGATTGCGGCACTGAAGAAGCAGCTGAACAAAGCCGAGGAAGAGATTGCAAAGCTGAGAGGAGATGCCGCTGCTTTGGGCAAGTCAGTGGGTGAATTTGGAAGCATCGTGAAGGAGAAAGCCTTTCCAAATCCGGAGCCACAGATTACGGCTGCAAAAGTGGTGGAAGAAGTGAAACGCACGGTCTCCCAAGTTGTAGATGAGCAAGTATGGGAAACAGTTGAGAGGAAGAGCAGGGTTCGCTCCATTCGCATCACCGGGCTTGAGGAAACCCCAGGGGAAGATCCGAACTGTGTCAAGGACAAGGTGATTGCTTTGTTCAGGGACCGCATGAAGATTGCAAACGCTGCAGATCTGGTGGAGACCGCTGCCAGGGTGGGTCAGAAGAAGCAAGCGGATGGTCACCCCCGCACGGTCCTGGTGAAAGTTCTGAGCGAGCAGGGAAAGAGGAGAATCCTGATGGCAAAGCCGCGCCTGAGGGGCCTGCAAGTTGGAGTAGATGAGGACCGCACACCAAGACAGCAGGCTGAGCACTTCCGGTTGGTCAAACTCATGAAGGATGCTAGGGCCGAGAAGAAGCACGCTCGGATTGTCGGTGGGCGCCTCTTTGTCAACGGCGTTCTGGTGACAGTGGAAGGGGCTACATTAGGGGCAGCCAGCCAGGCTGCTGCCATTGATCCATCTTCGAGCTAGGGGGGCGGGGGCCGTGGTGGGAGGGGGAGTGGGAGTAGGAAGGGCGTTTTGAAATTTGCTCTATGGAACTGCCAGGGCTGGGGGGAGGAAAAAGCTGATTTCATTTCTGAGTTTGTTCGCAAGTCAGGTGTTGAAATCATTCTTTTGACTGAAACTTGGGCAAAGCCAGAGGAGAAGCTCAAATGCATAGAAGGGTTCTCTTCGTTTGATCAGCCTCGTAACTTCAAACATCAAGCTGCTTGGCGTGGTGCGGGGGGGTTAGCTGTTTGGATTTCGGAGGAGTTAGCAAGCTCAGGAGTGTCGCAATGGAGGCCAGGTACTGCAGAAAGTCACATGTGGCTCAGGTTACCTGGTCTAGGCTCGTCATGCCAGGATCTCTTCCTGTGTCTGGCTTACCTGCCACCAGACGGTTCAACGTGGTATCAGCAAATAGGAACTTCAATAGAAGAGATCTTTGAGCAAGTGACCCAGGATGCAGCTGTGGCGATGTCCCTTGGAGAAGTGCTTCTGGCTGGAGACCTGAATGCACGCACCAGTTCCTTCTGCGATTGGTTGGACATGGGGGACATTGAGCTCTTTGCTGGAGTTTCTGATGTAGAGAGTTCTGGCGAGCTGGAGTTCACGCCCCCAAGAGCTTCCGAAGATAAAGTGGTCAATAGAGCAGGGAGGTTGCTTCTTGAGTTCTGCAAGGCAGCAGACTGCAGAATTTTGAACGGGCGTGTCCAAGGGGATGAAGCAGGGAGTGCCACGTGTTTCCCAGCGGGTGGTGGAAGCAGCTTAGTAGATGTTTTCGTCGCTTCAGCTTCGTTGGCCCAACAAGCGGACAAGCTGGTTGTCTCAGATGCATTGCCTGATTCAGATCATAGGATGGTCACTCTGGGCCTAAGAGTGGGTGATCAGCTCCTCCAAGAAAAGAAAGCTCGAACCAAGGCTGATGCCAGTCTGACAGGACCCAAATTCTCAAAAGTCAAAGAGGAGGGAATTCCTGTGTTTAAAGCAATGCTCGCTAATTCGACAGAGTTGCAAGCTTTGGCTGAAAACTTAGAGGCCATGGGGCCTGGAGAAGCAGCGACTGTCCTGGAGAATGCCATTAGGAGTGCTGGGCTGTGTGCATTCCCTTCGCCCTCTTCAAGAAAGGAGTTCGCAACTCGTAGCCCAATCTGGTTCGATGGAGAGTGCAAAGCTGTCCGCAAGAGATTCTTAGATGCTCTGAAGGCAGGGGGCGCTTCTCACTTGAGCAGTCAGCTCAAGAAGGAGTATAGGAAGATTGTTAGGCGTAAAAAGAGGGCGTTCAACAAGTATAGGGCAGCAAAGTTAGAAGACCAGATGCAAAACAGCCCTGCAAGCTTCTGGAAGCAGTTCCAAAAACGAGCCCAGGGTTTAGGAAGGGAACACGAGGCTGGTCTGTTGAAGCATTGCCAAAGTTTGTATAGTCAGTCAGAAACGGGGTTAGCCTCGGCTGGGGTTCAGCAAAGGGAGAAGCGCCGAGCACGACAGGGTGGGAGGGCAGAGGAGAGTCTGGAGGTGGCGATAACGGAGGCGGAAGTAAAGACGGCATTGAGGTCTTTGAAAAACGGAAAGAGCCCGGATTTGGGGGGTTTTACTGCGGAGCTATTGAAAGCTGGGGAGGATCATCTGCTCCAGGTACTGACGGGGACCTTCAACAGGGTCTTTGATGAGGGGGTGTTTCCGGATAGTTGGAATGAGGGGGCATTGGTGGCAATCTTTAAAAAAGGAGACCCGGCAGATTACGGAAACTACAGAACGGTGACGGTGGGACCCGTGCTGGGCAAGTTGTATGCCGCGGTGGTGAACCGGCGGTTAACCGAGTGGGCGGAAAAGGAGCAGGTCCGGGCGCGGGGGCAGGCGGGATTCCGGAAGGGGTTTAGGGGGGCGGACCATATGCTGGCGCTGCGGGTTCTGACGGAGCGGTGGGGACGAGGTAGGAACCGGCACCTTTTTGCCTGCTTTGTAGATTTCAGAAAGGCGTTTGACATGGTGCCGCGAGAGAAGTTGTGGACGCGGTT